CCATAACCTCCTTATTACCCACATCCTTCTCTGACCCTTTTGTTTTCCTTCCCTCTAATAGTTCCATGTCTGCAGAAGCCAAAGGCTGAAATTTGTTGCTCAATAGAATAGACTCGTTTTACTTTTAGCCCTAATAGTACACTTTCTAACTTCCTGAAAGTAATTGCTAGCTGATGTATCCCTTGCCTGTAAAAGCTTAAGTTCTTCTTGAAATCCTGCTGCCATTTCCCACATTCAACATTCTCTTTATCTATTGCCTCTTCTTTAATCATGATTGCCTTTAACTTCTCCTCCAACCTACAAACTCTACATAAAAATTACACATCTTCATGACTAGCTTCCTTAAAAGTACATTCCAGTACTATTCAAGTAATCAACATACTGTTATTATGTTTCTTGTTAAGCACTATGTGTTCTCTAACCAATTTTAGTCTTATAAACTTTTGTTTTCTTTTTTGTACCTCAAGTTTATTCAACTTTGGTGATTTGAGGGAGGACTCATGATTCAAAGGCCTCAGGTTTGATTCTCATTGCTATCACATTTGATCACCCTGTCCTTGTTATGGTTAAGCTACTAAGGCTATCTGCCACTGTCAGTAATTTGAACTACTGGCTAGAAGAAAAGCAAATAGCTGGCAGCACCTGCCTCCAACTTTGTTTTTGCTATTAATTTAGCTTGTCAGATAAATAATTCACAAAAATGCTGCATATTTTTGAAATTTCTATTCAAATATAGGATCACTGTGTGAGTAAGAGGCATCTCAAAAACATCATACATATAACATACATTCTAACATTATATAAAAATCTAGTCATATTTTGTGAACTGCCCTTGTCCAAGGTTACTGTTGTAGGTTGGAATACCTGAACCTCGTATAACTCAGTGATAAGTAGTGAATAAAATGATAGATTGAACTCCACATTAATATTTTACTTTACTAATTAATTTATTGAATGTTATTGATTAATGGGTCCATCAACTAACCAATTATTAAATACCGCTAATTGCCTAGCTCAATACTTTGGTATGTGGAAGGTTGTAATGATAGGTACTTAATAACAGTATGCAATATTATCGTAATTGAGATTAAAAATACTGCAAAATTTAGAAAATTCTATTATTATCATAGGCTATTTCCCTATGTATTAATACCATATCTTCAGTGCCAGAAATTAAAAAAAACAAATTAAGTTATTGTGTAGAAGAGCATTTTATGCTTTAAAATAAGTTATTTTTAATCATGACACTTTTTTTGGTTGTGTAAAATAAAATAGTTTCTTTTGAACTGAAAATTAAATATTTTATATTTTTACAGTAGTCTAATATACCTCTAACCTGATTTTTGTAACTTTTTCTCTGAAACCTCAACCCTCTTGTATAAAAATTTATATATATCACACCACAGATTTTCCACATATTTAAGACTTGAAGAGTTTTCTTTACAGATGTTTCATACAATGGAAAGTTCAATAAAGTATTTTTGTTAGCTCTGACATAAAATGTTCTGAATTAATGAAAAAAAAAAAAATAATATATATATATATATATAAATATAGATATTCACAATAAAATCAGTACCATTAAAGTAACTTTTGAATGCATTCTAAATAAACCACAACAATATTGCTATCATATTATAACTTTACAAGTGCATTTTTAAAAAATATATATATATTATTTAATTAGCAAAACAAGGTTTTTATTTTGCTGCATAAGGCTTACAATAGTATCAGACTCAGCACACCAAGAAAGTAGGTAAATACTTAATGGATCAGACTAACAACTACTCTTAAATAACTTTTAGATTAGCATTGGTGAATCTATATGGCTTGAAGATGATATTAAACTCTTAGCTGTTTCTAGCTGTATTGAGGACGTAAAGGTACTACAGTTAGTTAGTTGGACAAAGATTTGGTAAATGACCATTAAATACATTGAAAGATAATGCATTTGTAGTATCATAATTTGAATCATGTGTTTAACGCAGATAGAAACCCATTCAATAACGTGACTTAAGAAAAGAATCTTGGCACAGTGGTGGATAAGTTACCCAAGACACCAAGGCAGTGCTGTGTTGCTAGTAACAACGTTAACAGGATTTTAGGGTGTAGTTATATATGTAATGATTATGCAATTCTCTCTCATATCAGTAATTAGGCTTCCTTTGCAATACTATGTAGTTAAGTCTCCTTAAGTAAGGAGGGATACTAGGACGATACCACAATTGGAAAGGTTTTCTTATGAGGATAGGTTTAAGAGTCCTATCTTATTTTCCTTCAAGAAAAGAAGGTTAAAAGGTAGTCTTACTGTAGTTCACAAAATTATCAACAAAATCAACATCATAAAGGCTTCTGATTTCTTTGTGCTGTTTTCTGAAGACAACAGAACACAAGTTTAAAATTTAGAAAAAGACAAGTTGTGCTCCAGTTTAGAAATTTTTATTTTTCTAACAGTGTGATCGACTGATGAAATAAGTTGTTGTAGTTGTAATAGAGGTCTATACATTATGAGGGTTTAAAAGGGGATTCAATAACTTTTATTGAAGTCTGGGTTTGTAAGGACAGTCTTAAAGAACCAAATGGATCTTTTTTTATCTATGTTATCTTAAACTTATTTTTATTTGTTCCTCAAAATGGAATTAGTCATAAAACCAATCAGGTGTTGTACACTCATTAAAGATGGCATCAAACTTCCCTAACATTGTAAGAAAATTTCTTCACCCATTTAATATTTTTCAAAACTGATAATACAAATGTTAATTTTTTAAATATTGCAAGTGGTTCTCAAAATTCCATGATCATATTAATAATGAAATGTAATTAAACATCATGTTTTATGTTAAATAATATATATGTGATGTATATCAACAACTAAGAAAACAAAAGAGGATTTTCATTTGCCATGTAGACATGCATTTAAAAAAGTTCCAAATAAGATATTAATATACAACATTTTTGTCGATATTTCCTACACAGCTTCACTAGAACACTAGTTAGTGTCACACTGTACTTTTAGAATGCAATACAAAAATTTTTTTTCCTTGACTGCTATTAATTTCAATTAATTTTAAGAGATGCACACTCACAGTTGAGTAACCAATATACTTTGTGTATCTACTATATAACTTTAAGAATTAAAATACAAAGAAAAAGGTCACCCATTTAAAATATGATCATTGTGTTTTAATTCTATTCCAATAACAACTTAAATGTCCTACAAATAAGGTTTAAAAGTATGAGGTACGTTCTTCTTTCAAAGTTAACAACGGTGAAAACTACACACTAGTTTTCTTCAAAATTACATATCAAGAAAGCATAAAAAAAAAGACATTTCTTAATGAAAAACAAACATATACCTTATTAATGGACATACAGTTCTGACAAATGTAAATTTATTTCTAATGCTTGGCTTTATTTGTACTGTAAGTTTTTTCCAAAATATTCTTGCTAAACCAAGAAGGCCGTTCACGTGGGATTTCAACAATTCTTTTTCCTTGTACTTTCAAGTAATCTTTTGGTTCTTTTTGGTAAACAATGACTACTTCCTTCTCCACTGGTTCCAAACTAAGCTCTTTTTGGATTTCTTCCTGCAATAACTGCGTCTCTTGTTTCACTTTTTCATAACAATTTCCACATATAGTATGTGCCTCATGAAAATGCCCACACTCATTGCAAATCAAAATATTCTTCTTTGGAACAAGCATTTTATTCTGACCCATCTTTCTGGTAAGTCTTTTTTCAATGGATCGACGACTACGAGGAACTGCCCATAAAAATCCGTTTCCAAATATATCCTCAAAAACAGAAGCATTCGAAGAACTATTCCTATTATTTTGAATTTGTGATGGTGTTTCATAGTAATTAATAGCAAAAACTTCCTCGGGCAGGTAAGTGATACAAAATTGTTCTTTTACACGAACAAAATGTCTCCACATATAATTGAAGGTACCCTTAATTAATTTCACATAAGTCGCCATTTTTTAGAAATGCTGCCACCTACCGATAAAATTAATATATATATATATATATATATATGTGTGTGTGTGTTAATGTTTAATGTAAATCTACAAATTTATTAATAAAAATCGACATTTGTAATTTATTTAACATCTCTTTAATGGTTAGTAATATGTGTATCAGCTAATTACTAGCCGCATCATACTTGAACTTTTAATTTGGTCAACAGATCACACGTATATTACGATTTTTATAATTAAAAGTTCGTAGCATAGATAGAAACTCAAATTTCAATTTATTTACACATATACCGTAGTTTAAGGAATATAAATAGTGTTCTTTAAAAAATTGGATTGCATTTAATAAAACTAAAAGTGTGACTTTTGAATTTCTATCCTGGGTTTTGGAAAGTACATTGTTGTTTTAAACATTCAATTCGAATTTTCTTTGAACTGATCCTCTAGCTTGTTCAGAACAAATTCAAAAAAGTTATTTAACAGAACTTATATGCAAAAGCGGATGTACAATGAAATAGACACGTAATTATAGAGTATTGGTTGTGTTGTATACATGCTAGTTACAGGTATCATATATCCCATTCTCTTTAATGTAAGCCTTTAATGTAATATCAAATCTGTAAATTTTGCTATAGTTCTAGTTCTGAACCTGGCAAATCTAGATTACGTCATACAGTAATTCATTCCTAGTGTTGCGTCAGCGAGGTCACGTGACTGGTATCACGCCAACTGTTTCTAGAAATATCCTGTTCCTTCATGAATGCCCTAGCA